TGTGTCTCTCATTCCTGATATTGGCAATTTATGTCATCTTTTTTTTTCTGATCCGTCCGACTAGAAGTTTTTCAATTTACCGATCTTTTCAAAGAACTAGCTTTGGTTTCATTACTTTCCTCTTTTATTTTTCTGTTTTCTGTTTCACTGATTGATTGCCACTCTGATCTTTACTTTTTATTCCTCTGCTTATTTGGGAACTGAGTTTGCTCTCTTCATACTTTTGTAAGTTGCAGGCTGAAGTAATTGATTTGAATCTTTTCCCATTTCTCCTACAGGTGTTTAGTGCTGTAAATTTCTATCTCAGTGTTGCATTGGCAACATCTTAAACATTTTGATAGGTGTTTTTTTAATTCCCTTCAGTTCAAAATACTTTCTCCTTTGATTTCTTCTGTGGCCCACAGTTATTGCAACGTTTGCTATTTACTTTTCAAATCTTTGGCATTTCGCACATACATAGCTGTTTTTTTGTTTTGTTTTTTGTTTTTTGGTTTTTTTTTTTTTGAGACGGAGTCTCGCTCTGTCACCCAGGCTGGAGTGCGGTGGTGCAATCTCAGCTCACTGCAAGCTCCGCCTCCCGGGTTCACGCCATTCTCTTGCCTCAGCCTCCCGAGTAGCTAGGACTACAGGCACCCGCCACCACACCCGGCTAATTCTTTGTATTTTTTTTTTTAGTAGAGACGGGGTTTCACCGTGTTAGCCAGGATGGTCTCGATCTCCTGCCCTCGTGATCCGCCCGCCTTGGCCTCCCAAAGTGCTGGGATTACAGGCATGAGCCACCGCGCCTGGCCAGCTTTCTGTTTTTTTAAATTGAGGTGAAAGTCACATAGCATAAAATTAACCATTTAAAAATATACAACTCAGTGGCACTTACACATTCACAACATTGTGCCACCATCATCTCTAATTCCACAACATTTTCATCACTCCAAAAGGAAACCCCTCACCCATTAAAAAATCATCCCTCATCCTCCTTGCCCTGTTTTCTACGGATTTATCTATCTTTCTGTTTCTGATTTCTAATTTAGATTGTGGCACCAGTATACATTTTGTATAACTTACATCTTTTAAATTTATTGAGACTTGTTTTATGGTCCAAAATACGGTCCATCTTGAAACATGTTCATGTGCACACAAAGAGCATCTTATTCTCCTGTTGTTGGGTGAACGTTCTAGAAGTATCTTTAGGTCATAGTGGTTGGTAGTGTTGTTCAAATCTTCTAGTGATTTGCTGATTTTCTGGCTCTTTGTTCCATTAATACTGAGATAATGAAATCTGACTGCAAGTGTGGGGTTGTCTATTTCTCCATTGCAATTTTGTCAGTTTTTGCTTCATTGACTGCGAAACTCCGTTATTAGCTACAGAAATGTTTGCACTTCTAGCCTCTTGACTGGTTGCGCTGTTTGCACTATAAAATGAGTTTCTTTATCCTTGGTAATATTCTTTTTTCCAAAGTCGGCTTAGTTATTAATATAGCCACCACAGCTTTCTTTTCATTAGTGTTAGCTGGTATATTTTTTCCATTCTCCTTTTAACCTATTTATGTCTTAATATTTAAAGTGGCTTTCTTGTAGGTAACCCATAGTTGGGTTTTGCTTTTTTATATAATCTCACAAATTCTTTTAACTGAGGGCATTTTGATTATTTAAATTTTATGTAATTATTCCATGATTAGGTCTAAGGTTATCATCTTGCTGTTTATTTTCTGTTGGTCTCACCTGTCCTTTATTATTTTTCTTTTTTCTGCTTTCATGGGGGACAAATGAATACTTGTTATGATTTCCATGTATCTCCTTTCTTGGCTCATGCAGCACACATCTGTATTCTGGGACTTCTGTGGCTGTTGTGGTGTGTAGAGAGTATGATGCCACTTCACGCACAGTGTAGAAACCTCGCATCTGTTACTGACCTCCCAATCTTTATGCCATTGTTGTCATACATTTCATTTTTACGTGTTATAGGCCCCATGCTACGTTGTTATTGTTGTTTAAGCAGCCAATTATCTTGCAGAGTGATTTTTAGAATAAGAAAGATTGGACACACTTTCCCCTGCAGTTTACGCGTTTGAGGCTCTCCACGCACCTGTGTGGATCCACACTTCAGTGGGCATGGCTTCCTTCTGCCTGCGGGACTGACTCCAAGAGCTCCTGCAGCCCCTGAGGACGCCTTCCTTTGGCTCTCGAGTGTTTGCAGAAACATCTTTCTCTCACCTTCGTTAAGAATCGTATTTTCTGGGTATAGAATTCCAGGTCGGCAGTGTTTCCTCTTGGCCTTCACAGAGGTCCCTGCGCTGGGCTCTCAGCTACACCGCTTCTGTGGGAAGCTGCGCCATTCACCTCTGTCACTCTGCACGCAACGTGCAGTGCTCTCTCTGACGCTCAGATCTCTTATCACTGGTGTCAAACCATCTGGTTACGGCTCTGACACAGTTTCATTCCTCTTCATAGTTCTTGTGCGTGGGATTCATTCAGCTTCTTGGATCTGTGGGTTTGTATTTATTTTTATCAAATTTGGAAAATGTTCAGTCATTAGTTAGTCAAATTATTCTACTTTCTCCTCTTCTCCCAGGATTCCAATTACACCTATATTCGTGCACTTAAAACTGTGTGACTTTAATTTTTGTTCTCTTTAATTTCATTTTCTCTTCATTTTTAAAAGTTTCTGTTGCTATGTCTTTAAGTTCTCCAATGTTTTCTCCTGCCATCGTTGTCATTCACTCCACCTGGTGCCTTCCTCATCTCCCGTGTCGTGGTTTTCACCCTGAAAGTTTGGGTTTTGTCTTCCTTTTATATCTTCACCATTTCTACTTAACTTTCTGAACATATAGAATACAGTGATAACTTGTCTTCCAATTATAATATCTGTGCCCACTGATCAATTTGCTTTTGATTGATCAATTATTCTCCCTATTTTCCTGCTTTTCTATACAGCAATATTTTATTGGTTGCCAGACATTTGGGCTTTGTTTTCCTTTGGGGTCTGGTGGCCATTTCTGCATTTCTGTATGTGTTCTTCAGGCTTGGGCTCTGTTCCAGGACAGTTGTCTTCTCAGAGGAAATAGTTGGGTCCTTTCAGGTCTGCTTTCTAGGGTCTCTCATGCAGGTCTGGAGTGGGGCTCACCAGGCCTAAGGACCCCTGACTGAGGCAAGGCCCTGTGTCTGCTTTGCCCGACACCCCAGGGATCATGGGGGTTTCCAATCTGGCTGGTGAAGCAGGTGCTGTTCCCGCCCTAGAACGCTTTTGGGTGGTTCTTCCCCAGCACGGGGCAGCTTCCTCTCAAGAGTGTGCTCATCAGGCCTGGGCAGGACACTCCGGGGCCTCTCCCGAAGGTCTTGGGGTTTTCTCTCTGTGCAGCCCTCCCCTGCCCTCCCCTCTCCGGGGCTCTGTCCCATGAGTGGCAGTGCCTGGCTCTCCACAGGCTCTCGGCTCCATCCTGTGACTCAGGTCACCAGCAGAATCCACCGGAGCCACCGCGGTGAGCTTGGACCTTAGCTCGGGGACCACTGCCTGTCATTGCTGATGTCTAGTGTTCTGAAAGTCCTCGTTTCATACAGTTTGTGTTTTTGTTGTTTCTGGTCCCTGTTACTCCATTTCAGCTAGCAGCAGAAGTCAGCTGGCTTGTAAGGTAAGTTACAGTGGGGTTTATATCCCGGTGGGAGTGACCCAGTGTACACAGGAACCAGGACACTTGCTTACATCTTGAAGTGACAGTAGGCCCTGGACACTGAGGAGCCTCCCTTCCTCCTCAACCACGGCGCCCTGGGCCAGGCCATATGCTTCCAAGTAATACGCAGTTTTTTGTTCTTCATCTTCCTCGTTCTGGGCACGTAACCTTTATAAGACATAAGAATGGAATTTGGAACAAAAAATGTTAAAACATTATGTTATTATTACTAAATGTTTAATATGTCATTTTCTATCATTATACTATATATCTTATTAGTGCTTAAAATGATGTTTTAAAATAGCTAACATGTAAAGACATTCTCGATATGTCTTAGAGGTTTAAGAAGCTGGAATAATGCAGTATGTACAGCGTATTATGGTTATGAAATTTAAATCTGCGCTTGAAGGAGATTTGCAGAAGCAATTCTACAGCATCAGCTTTACCCAGCAGGCTAGGTTTGATCGGCTAACTCAGCTTCCGCAAGGACAGCGTACGGCATCCACAGTGACAGACACGGCTCAGGTCAGACCTTGTGGTGGGTTACACCTTTCCCCACACAGGCTTCTGCACACCTGCACTGGGCCCGCCGTGTCGAGACGCTTGCGTGTGGACAAGTGGGGGCAGCCCCAGGTTGGGGGCAGGGCAGTGGACGGGGCCAGGGAGGCTTTGCCAGGGCAGGGGTGGCTGGCAGCTGCTGTGGTGGGGACAGCTGGCATCAGGACTGTGTGGGCCCTGCCCTTGGGGGGAGCAGCCCCTGAGATGCCACCTGGGGCCAGGCTACAGAGCCATGCAGAGCGGGGCCGTCTCCTTAGGTCAGGGCCCTGCAAGCAGCTCAGGGCTGTGCTTGGGATGTGTGCGTGTGACCTGGGCCTGGGCACGTGTGTGCAACGCGTGTGTGCCTGTGGCTGGTGGGGGTGGGTGGTTCTGTATGTCTGTGCATGTCTGCCAAGGGCTGGAGGTGCAAGGCCCAATGTGGGTGCCCTCGAGGGAGGTGTGGGCAGCCACAGGGCTGGGGCCAGGAAGAGGCCCTGTCAGGGGCAACGGGGCTTCCCCGACGGGGAAGGCTGGACATGTGATCAGAACATGTGGGGGAGGCGGCAGCCGGGAGCTTCCCAGGGGAGGGGCCTGTGGACCCCAAGGGGGTGCAGCTGGGGTGAGCCAGGCCCAGAGGGCAGGATGGCACTGGGTGTGCTGCGTGTGGGAGAAGCAGTGACTCCCGTGCAGGGGGGCGCAGAGGCAGCCTTACCTCTTGATCTTCGCTCGCTCTAGTTTTACATCAACACAATTCTCTTTGTAGCCACAGTCGATAAACTTTCTCTCAATTTCCAACAGGCTATCGTCCATGTCTTTCAGCAGCAGCGAGCACTCGGTGGCTTCAGTGACCGCCGACTGCTGCGCAACCCTGACCCGCAGGCTCAGGCACCTGACGGAGGGACAGTTTGGGGCCTGGAGTCAGAAGCCCCAGGGCCGCGTCAGGACTTGCGGCTGGGCTGCTGCTGTTCTCCCCGGTGTTCATCCAGGGATGCTCGAAGAAACGCTTTTGGAGCGTTTCTTGAAAATCAACATCATACGGGCCTCATTCTGTGATCGCATGTGATAAAATCAGCCCCACCCCAGGCACTGCATCCAGGTGGAAATTCAAAAACCCTCTCCTACTTGACTCACTAGTGGAACAGAACCCGCGCTGAAGCGTTGGGCGGTTCACACGCTGCTGCTGCGGGGCCCAGGGCAAGGCCGGGAGGGAGGCGGAGAGCACAGGAGCCAGGCTGCGGCCCGGAGCAGCCACAGCAGGGCCCCGGGCTGCCCTCGCGCAGATGCAGAGAGCTCCACAAAGACGAAGCAGAACACAAGGAAAGCCCGAGTCAGACAGAAATCCGTGTTGCTGGGGTCTGTAAACCAAAGCCAGCTCCTTAAAAAGGTCCACTGTGTTGGAGCCTGTGATTCTGATTTAGAAGAGATGGCGTCGCCAGCCTGGCTAACACGGTGAAACCACATCTCTACTAAAAATACAAAAATTAGCCGGGCGTGTTGGCGCGTGCCTGTAATCCCAGCAACCCGGGAGGCTGAGGCAGGAGAATTGCTTGAACCAGGGAGCTGGAAGTTGCAGTGAGCTGAGATTGCACCACTGTGCTCCAGCCTGGGCGACAGAGAGACGGCGCCGATAAACGGCAATGAGGGAGGCGTGCCTGCGGCAAGGGCTTTGTGAAAGCTGTAAGAACACATGCCCTACAAATTCACACGGACACACCACAAACTTAGAGGAAAAGGGTTCCTAGGCCCTTCCCAAGGCCCTGGAGTTGCCTTTCGAAGCCAGACAGGACACGTGGATGCAAGGCCCACTTCTCAGAGAAAGCCTGAAGCAAGCTCAGGAAACTTCTGGAGCTTTCTGGAGCTGTGCGGAAAGCTGTGGATATGAGGCCCCATGACATGGGCCTCTGAACTTGCACAGGCTGGACGTATGGCACAAAAATCGCAGATGGAAAAGAGGAAACCACAGCTTTCACGCTAATGAACAGTGTTTCTTACAAGGAGTTACCTGGCTTCTAGATCTGTGATCATGAATTCCAATAAAGGCAGTCGGTTTGGTCTTTCTTTCTTGAGGATCTTGAAGGCATTGATGAGCTTCTGAAATATGTGACACACCTGAGGACAGGCGGGGGTGGATACGGGTGTACCTGAGGACAGGCGGGGGTGGATACGGGTGTGTCTGAGGACAGGCAGGCATGGATACAGGTCTGAGGACAGGCAGGCATGGATACAGGTCTGAGGACAGGCAGGCGGGGACAGATACAGGCCTGAGGACGGGTGGGTGGGGACAGATACAGTCCTGAGGACGGGTAGGGGTGGATACGGGTGTGTCTGAGGACAGGCAGGCATGGATACAGGTCTGAGGACAGGCAGGCGGGGACAGATACAGGCCTGAGGACAGGCGGGCGGGGACAGATACAGGCCTGCCTGAGGACGGGTGGGGGTGGATACCAGCGTGTCTGAGGGTGGGCAGGGATGGATCCGGGCGTGTCATCAGCGGTCTGCCAGGCAGAGCATCCGACGTGCAGCCCCAGGTCCCCATGCCTCTTACCGTAGCTTCTCTTCCTGGGTGTTCCATGGACAAGAGCGCCTCTGCCAGGGTCAGAGTGGAATTGTACCAGAACTCCTCACTTCCGCCCAGGGGCTGGGCCTGTGCGATCATTTTCTTGGCTTGTCCATAGTTTTTCTCCTTGTTGGCCAACTGTGCAAGGAGGAGCAGGCACTGGGCCTCTGCACAGGGCTCATCCAGCTCCTGAAGGAGAGTGACTCAGACATGTGTGGGTTCCTCTACAGACGTGTGCAGGCAGGGAGACAGGAGAAGGTAGAGAGAAGGAGGAGGCAGACAGAGAGGCAGAGGCAGACAGAGGCACCGGGTGAGGGGAAGACAGGGCCGCTCACTCTGCCAGCGGACGGGTGGGGCCCACGGCCGCCCTCGCACTCCCTGGCAGGACTTGCTGTCCTGCCCGGCTCCTGCAGCCCTGTGGCTCCTCGAGTGGGACGCCCACCCTCCCCGCCCTCCCGCACTCCAGAGGCTTCTCTGGAGTCAGCAGCGGCTGCAGCGTGCATGACTGTATCTGATTCCATTTAATTATATTTCAGTGATGTGCTGATGAGCGGGATCGGCGTTCAGTGAGGCGCAGCCCCACTCTGGCTCATCTTTGGGGGGATCTGTCTCCCCCTGCCTGGGCGGCAGGAAGCTTGGTCCCCGGAGCCTCCTGGGGTTCCTGCTGGCCTCGTCCTAGCCCTGTCTTTTAGAGGCTCCCGCTTGGGGCGAAAGGCTCGGGACAGTCGCACCTGGACACCGATGCTGAGAGCGGCTCAGAGGCTCCCAGAGCCCGGCCTGCCCGTCCGGGGCCTGCTGCCAGGGAGTTGGGCAGCCACATGATCTGGGACAGAAACACAGGGCAGCCTGTGCTAAGAAGAGAGGGGTGCTGGTCGGAGGGTGAGGAGAGGATGGGAGTGGCGGCGGAAAGCAGGTCCCAGCTCCAGGGCTCCCCGGCTATCTTCTGCAGCAGAAAGGCAGTGTCCTGTTCCCAGGCATCACTTTCTGGCCAAACAAGATGCCCTGTGTGCTCGATTGGACCTGGGCAGGCCCCTCCCAGGGTAGATGCAGGTGCGGGGACAGAGGGGAGGGTGGGCTGATGAGCTGGGGCTACCCGCCAGAGAGCAGGTGTCCCAGCTGCTGAGGGCTCCATCTCTGGCCATTCCATGCATTTAGATGCCCAGGACGAGGGAGGGGCCGCAGCCACTAGGGAGGCGTGCCCCAGGTGTGCCCCAGTTGTGCCCCTGCCGGACACAGGATCCACCTGGACACCACAGCCCGCACGCACCGGGCACGGCTGTGACCGCCAGAGATGGCGTGGGGAGGGCCTGGGTTCACCGCAGCCTCGTGGGCAGTCAGGTGGCCTGAAGGTAGGCAGGTGGGTGGCTGGGCTCTGTGGAAGGGCATTCCTCGCCTCTGGACCAAGCCTGGCAGGGGTGTGCAGGCCTCTGAGGTGGGAAGACGGGGAGGCCCTTCGTGGCTGGGCCCAGAGAGCAGAGCTGGCAAGGGTCCAATGGGGCCCGGCTCTTGTGGGGCTTGTTCAGGGCAGCTACAGTGGGTCAGAGGCTGGTGACAGGGTGGGCAGGGGCTTCCACATGGAGAGGAGGAGGGTGAGGGGGTGGGACAGAGCTTGGCTGGGGATGAGGAGAGCCCAAAAGGCAGGGAGAGGACAGGGTGGGTGGTGTAGAGGTGGGGTGGACGGGGGGTGGAGGGGGGGTGGAGGGGTTAGAGGTGGGGTAGAGGTGGGTGGAGGTGGGGTGGAGGGGGGACGGAGGGGGGGCGGAGGGGGTGGAGAGGGGTAGAGGGGTTAGAGGTGGGGTAGAGGTGGGTAGAGGTGGGGTAGAGGTGGGTAAAGGTGGGGTAGAGGTGGGGTGGGTGGGGTAGAGGTGGGGTAGAGGTGGGGTAGAGGTGGGTAGAGGTGGGGTGGAGGTCGGGTGGAGCTGGGGTGGAGCTGGGGTAGAGGTGGGGTGGGTGGGGTAGAGGGGGGTAGAGGTGGGTAGAGGGGGGGGGGAGGTGGGGTGGAGGTGGGGTGGAGGTGGAGTAGAGCTGGGGTAGAGGTGGGGTAGAGGTGGGGTAGAGGTGGGGTGGGTGGGGTAGTGGTGAGGTGGGTAGGGTAGAGGTGGGGTGGAGGTGGGGTAGAGGTGAGTAGAGGTGGGTAGAGGTGGGGGGAGGTGAGGTGGGATGATGGTGGAGTAGAGCTGGGGTAGAGGTGGGGTAGAGGTGGGGTGGAGGTGGGGTGGGTGGGGTAGAGGTGGGGTGGAGGTGGGGTAGAGGTGGGTGGGTAGGGTAGAGGTGGGGTGGAGGTGGGGTAGAGGTGAGTAGAGGTGGGTAGAGGTGGGGGGAGGTGAGGTGGGATGATGGTGGAGTAGAGCTGGGGTAGAGGTGGGGTAGAGGTGGGTAGAGGTGGGTAGAGGTGGGGTAGAGGTGGGGTAGAGGTGGGGTGGAGGTGGGGTAGAGGTGGGTAGAGGTGGGGTAGAGGTGGGGTGGGTGGGGTGGAGGTGGGGTGGGTGGGGTGGAGGTGGGGTGGAGGTGGGGTAGAGGTGGGGTGGGTGGGGTAGAGGTGGGGTGGAGGTGGGGTAGAGGTAGGTGGGTAGGGTAGAGGTGGGGTGGAGGTGGGGTAGAGGTGAGTAGAGGTGGGTAGAGGGGGGTGGAGGTGGGATGGTGGTGGAGTAGAGCTGGGTTAGAGGTGGGGTAGAGATGGGTAGAGGTGGGTAGAGGTGGGGTGGAGGTGGGGTGGAGGTGGGGTAGCGTGGGGTGGGTGGGGTGGAGGTGGGGTAGAAGTGGGGTGGAGGTGGGGTAGAGGTGGGGGGGTGGGGTGGAGGTGGGGTGGAGGTGGGGTAGAGGTGGGGTGGGTGGGGTAGAGGTGGGTAGAGGTGGGGTAGAGGTGAGTATAGGTGGGTAGAGGTGGGTAGAGGTGGGGTGGAGGTGGAGTAGAGCTGGGGTAGAGGTGGGGTAGAGGTGAGTGGAGGTAGGGTAGAGGTGGGTAGAGGTGGGGTGAAGGTGGGGTGGAGGTGGGGTAGAGGTGGGGTGGGTGGGGTGGAGGTGGGTAGAGGTGGGGTAGAGGTGAGTATAGGTGGGTAGAGGGGGGGTGGAGGTGGGTAGAGGTGGGGTAGAGGTGAGTAGAGGTGGGGTAGAGGGGGGTAGAGGTGGGGTGGAGGTGGAGTAGAGCTGGGGTAGAGGTGGGTAGAGGTGGGTAGAGGGGCGTGTGAGGCTGATGCCAGGGTCTCCAGTGCTGACACTGAGTGGGAGGGCAGAGCCCTGTCCGGAGGAGTAGGCAGCACAAGGAACAGCCACAGCCCCCAGGGCAGATGTTTCCAGCCTGGAGTCCCCTGAGGTCAGCGGGGGTCTGAGTGCTGAGGCCACGCCCAGGAGAGGTCAGAACGCCAAGAGAAAAGGCCACCATGTGGGTGGGCCTGAGAGGGAGGGGAGAGCCAGAGAGCACGCGGGAGGGGTGCCACCAGCAGGACGGAGAGAGCCCCGCCGAGGAGGGGCCAGGGTGGAAGGGCAGAGCACACTCCCATCGCCAGCCTGGGGGAGCGGGTTCAGAGAGGCTCGAGGTGGGGCGGCCAGGAGGCACTGGCTGAGGGCGAGGTGGGGCCGGAGGGAGGGCAGTACACGAAGGCAGGCTTTCTGCGACGCGGATGCGGCTGAGAAGCCAGGGTGAGCTGAGGGCCAAGTTGAGGACAGGAGCCAGGAGGCCTCCAGCCAAGAGGGCGGGGAAAGATCAAGGAAACAAACAACTTCCTGCCAGAAGCGCCAGCTGCGAAACGAAGTCCCTGCACAGCCGCGGCTGCAGGAGGAGGGTGGCGGCCCCAGGAGGAGGGTGGTGGCTGCAGGAGGAGGGTGGCCACCTGTGCTCGTGGGAGTCTCACACCCGTCACATTCGTCCTGGGACTGGGCTCCCAGGTCCACGGAGGCCCCGGCACACAGCAGACTCACTCCCTAAGCCCCAGAGCTCTCATCACCTGACGCCGGGTGAGGGAGGCCGGGCCTCTGCCCACCTCAGGGGCTTGACTCTCGCACCGGGAGCTCCCAGGAGCTCTTCCACACCCCCAGCCCTCGGCCCCAGCAGAGGCTGGCCCTCTCCTGTGGCTGTGGCCAAAAGAACGCTGCACCCAGCATCCTCAGTCCCTTCCTCAGACAAGCTCCCTTTTGACCCTGGTATGCACACACCCGTCTCTGCTATCAGAGACCTGCACACACCTGTTCTCAGTGCCTGAGACCTGCACGCACCTGTCCCCCTGCCTGACACCTGAATGCACCTGTCCCTGCTATCAGAGACCTGCTCACACCTGTCCTCAGTGCCTGAGACCTGCACACACCTGTCCCATTTACTGAGATATGCACACACCTGTTCTCAGTGCCTGAGACCTGCACACACCTGTCCCTGCTATCAGAGACCTGCACACACCTGTCCCATTTCCTGAGACCTGCACACACCTGTCCCTGCTATCAGAGACCTGCACACACCTGTCCCATTTCCTGAGCTCTGCACACACCTGTTCTCAGTGCCTGAGACCTGCACACACCTGT